TATATTAAATAAGATATTTTGCAGCAACACACAATTTTCTTTCTTATAGAAAATTATCCCAAGAAGACGTATATAAATGCAAATACTATTTTATTCACTATACTTTATTCTGAATAATTTTTCTGATACATAAGTACACGCATGAAATATTTTTTCATGCAAGAATGAAATCTAGGTCAAGTATAAACGTTATTTAGCTGATTGTAGCGTACGTGTTAAGGGGATATAATTATTTAACAACACGTTAATCACGTGTTTGCGAATTTACAGTCATGGGGTTAGCGTGACTTGCGATACTCACAATGCCAATTCTAATCAGTCAAAGCATAAAGTCAATTAATCGAGAGTAATTTAAATTGAAATGTTATTTTTAAAATGTAGAGAAATTGTAGGATATAATATCAATTGATCATATTAATTACACAAAAATTTAATTCTTCCATCGCACTATGTAAATATACTAAAAAGCTACTAGTATTTATGAAAAAATTAATTATTTTTCCGTCATTTTTAATTAGATGCTTAACACGAACCTACAATTTCCGAGAACGAGTGTTGTTTCGTGGCACGCAATTTTCATTTCCAATATTAATACTAGTGTAACAGCGCAAATGCTGGAACTGTAAATAAAAAAATCTGGAGCATCTGCCTACACGTTTCTGAGAAACGTGAAAGACAGCGAATCGTATACAATCATAACGGGAACATATAATGCTACAAGACTAAATAAAATTAAATAATGAAATAAAAGCTGCAAATATCGATTGTAAAAATATACAAAGGCAATTATTTGCATAACGCTATGATTTACGATCTGCCTAGAATAACATGGTGTCAAGTAAAAAAAATATACACAATAAGATTTTAAATTTTAAAAAGTAAAAATCGCAAAAGTAATTTTTCATAACACATAATAAAAAATCCTGTTATCTACAATAGTGTAGCTTTCGAATATTCGTAGTAATTTATATTAAATTAACATACGTTGAAGGTTTGAGACCGTCTCTGAATAGTTACAGAAGGCTAGAAAGCGTCGGTCACACGTTACCTTCGCTCTGCTCCCAAAGAACATCCGGCCTGCGAGAAAATAGTAACAGGGGCTCGAAATGGAAACGAGATAGTCGAGTTTGACTTGCATTTCTATTTACGACATAGTTCGTTAACCCGTGCACAGCTTGGATACGTGACGCTTATATCGCGTCTATGAACGACATGCATAATACATGTATACGTGCGAGGAATGACAATTGATTCTTTGGAGAAAATCTCGCTTCAAAAAAATAGAGGAAGGAATCCAATCTCGATTTTTTTGAGAAATCACTTTTATGCAAATCCCTATTTTAAATCTGTCTACGAAACGTCAAACGTGACGTAGATGATGGCTTCGCAGATGGTGATGGAAAACCTACTATGGAGTCGCGGATAAATCGGACAGTTTGCGCGCTACTTTTCAATTGACTAAATATCGATTCGACGACATGTGTAGTCATATGTGTATCCCGCGACGAAGCAATAGGTATCTCGGATTACACAGCCGCAGTCGCAATTGCATTAACACGGTCTCGAGCCAATGCCATCGGCAGTCTACGCGTTGCATCCGCCACAAAACACAGTGCCGCCACAAATCTCTCACGCGGGTGTAATTTCGCCTAAATTTAATTAACTCGGAGATTGAGATTTCCGACCGTGTTGTTGTGAGCGTGCAATTTATATCAGGTATCCGGTGATTAATAAAGGTTTCGCGAGGTAGTGCCGTGTCACATAAGAGCGGTTTCGCTTCCAAATTTCCAATTCAAAAGTGTTAACGCGACTTGCACATGGTCTAATTATATTTAAAATATAAATAATTAATTTTTGTGAAAGAATTAAAAAAGTTTGTAAATGACCGTAGCAACTAAGATTGATTTTTGCGAAAATAACCGATCGCGTAGTCTGTAGCAATCAAAGAGAATCGATGCAAATCCGGTTAGCGCCAATCATGAAATTACTGCAGGCGGTTTCTCTCGTTTGCCGTCACAGGCAAAGTAAAGAATGTAAATGATTGAAGGTCTAACTATCGAGGTCCTAAAAAAATATAAAAAATAAAAAGTATACAAGTTACGCGTAAAATATGGAGATAAAATACACATTATATATTGCAATAAATTACGCGTTTAAATTCCTGGAACAATTTTTTTCCATGCTTACACTTAATCCCGTAATTCTACAGTACAATGATATTTGATGACAACGATTTAAACGAGCGCGACTTTTAAGCTCGATTCGAATATATACGCGGACAGCTTAATCCTTGAGTAAAGTCCCGTTTGAAAGGATTCGAGAAATGATAGAGTCTTGAAAGCGGATGAGACGAGGTTAAGCCCATAAGAGGGCGAGGAAACAGGGAGGAGCACCGAAAGTAGGTACTTCGAGATATCGACCAGTCTGGACCGTTCCACGTCCGCGCTACTGTTACCATTTCCTCGCAAGCCTTGTTCGCAATTGGAAAATGACTGACTTGCAAACATCATTTCTTTCTTTTACAGCAACAAAGCTTCACATTTCCTCGATTTTTCCGCCATTTTTTACAACAGCGATCTGCTAAACTTGTCCCCAATCTTTGCGAAAATTGAAACGTAAAGATAACACAAATCGTACATAACAATAATAATCTGTTGCTTCTAATTTCAAACAGACACAAATATCGTAACGTAAACTTTCTGAATTTGTAGGGAGATAATTTTGAATTTGTGCCGTTCTCTGTATCAAGAATCCACGTAATGAAGCAAATAGACTGAAATACTGAGCAATACCCAGAGCGAGAAACTCATCCATTGTTATTGAAACGTTCCGCCTGCCAACCTAATTGTGGTGAACAATAGCCGCGAAATCTGCCCGATCAATCCAATTAGGAACGGGTTAGTTAGACGGTTTCTCAGCTAATTAATATCGACGAATTCGCATAATGTAATCATTACGTTCATTAGTATAAAATGACGTGTCAATAAAATAAGCGAAAACGTACATTAGCGTATCAAAATTGCCGGCTGCCTTTCTCGCACTTCGTTGATTAATTTTATAAATGTGTATTTATATAATGTTTCTTCGATAAAAATTTACAATTTTAATTCGGAGAGTAGCTACAAAAATTGATAAAGGTTCAAGAGGTACGATAAATAACGATCTTTCTCTCTCGATATTTTCGATAAATAAAATCGCCTGCCAATTAACTGAAGCAGCTAGAATTAAGAGAATACTCTCTCTTTGATATCATAAAATAAATTTTATAACACGAGAGAGAGAGAGAGGGGAGTAAAACTTGAGGAGCAACAGTTCTAAATAAAAAAGCGACAATCCACGCTCTCGTGAAAAGACGGAAAATATCACGGCCTCTACTCGAACGCGCATTCGCTATCCCATACATCCGGGGAGAAAAAAAAATCTCTGACACGAGTGTACGAGGCTCCGTGGTACGGGACACAATAAAGTCTGCACCCCAACCCCTGAAATGCCACGGTGACAAAGGGCGGTTAAGCCCTTCTCGACGTAGACGTAACACGCATACGTGTTGTCGCGCAACGCGCGACGCGTCCCCTCCCCCCCCCGCGTTGCATCCCCCGCGATGCACCCCCCCGAAGCGGAGAGGAGTCCGTCCCTCCTGCGCGCGGCCTCGTTTTCTCGTGGAAGAGCCTCATTTCCCGCGCGATTGATTCTTGGTGAGATCGCGCACCGGGTTTGCGACCGGCATTATATATAGACCATCGATTGCGCCGCCTAACCTTTAAGCGAGAAAAGGAGCGTAACGAGGATGAGGCGCGCGGATAAGTACGTCCGAGATGCTGGAGCGGCAGTCATGCTCGTCGATTAAAAGCGAATGCACCAGGTCAACTGTTATCGAAGATCGACCTCGTTGTTGCGTTCTGAATAATTGTTTGTTCCAAGATCAAGCGGTGCGCGATCGAAATTAACTGCTGCTAATTAATTTGTGATATATCGAATGTTTTTCTGAGAAAAGTATTTAAAATATTTTTTACGATTTGTTAAATATTAATTCAATTCTGGTATTATATTTTTTTTTTTGGCTAATCAATAATTCAACGTTATCAAGTGGATTTGTACGTGTGTGTCGGTTTCCATCAAAAATACATTATGATTTGATGACGTGTAACTTTCTCTGAATACTAATCGCTAATAAAGTGTAATTTAATTGCTTGATTATTTAGTTATATCTTTGTTTCAAATTCTCTTAACTAAACAATCTCCCATTGATAATATAAAAATTAAATTTATTATAAATGTTATGGAAGTTAATAGTTTAATAGAATATCGAGGGCAGTTATATTCGGTGAAAACAATGAAAATTCGATGAGTCGGGACGTCATGGTAGTTGAAAAGCGAAAACAGAAATAGCACGTTTGTGTGAATCGACTTGCGCAATCACGAGCGCAACAGTCGACGCTCGTTATTAATCGAAGTAGGACATGGTATAGATGACATATAAAACATTCAGAGTGCTATAACGAGCAATTAATAAATATAATATAATATTAATGAATTAATAAGTGATTCAATGTATATAATATTAATAATAATAAATTTTAAAACAGTGATTATGCAAAATACAAAGCTAAAAATTTATGCGCAAAGAAAGTAAGACGCTCATTTAAAAAAATAATTTAAAGTCTATTCTTTCGCGTGCAAATTTACTCTCCAATCATCATGGAAGTTGAAGTGGTACCATTCGTCGACCGTAATGTAAGCAGAAAGGATATACTCCCACGACGGAGTAGCAGAGTACAAATTATTCAAAAAAAAGGGTGAGAGTATTATTTAGAATGAGCTCACATTATTTAAAACAACAAAATAACAAACAAAATTATTCAACGAGAGTCTATTAACGCAAATGAATTTTAATGTATCGCTGACAGATTGAATCACGTGTCACATTACGTATTATTATAAAGAACAGCTATTATTTGCTCGCAACGTACATGCAACAAAAGACAAACTTTTCATTCCAGAACGTCGCTCTTCATCATCATGAGCTTCATCTATGCGAAACTGCTCGTAGTCGTGTGCATCACTTATGTGATAAGCGAAGTGGTGACGCACAAACTACCGCTCTATTATTACGAGGGATTCTTCACATATCTGTACGGCATGAGTATCCTGTTCCTGTTGTACGTTTTCTGCTTCCTCCTTCAAGAGAGTGCCTGCTGTGCAAGAGGAAGTGATACACCGCCACCGCCACCAAGGCCACCTAAAACTGGCTGGACCTCCAAGGAAACCAAGGACAAGAATAAAAAGAAAGACAAGAAAGATAAGGATCAAAAACAGCCGAAGAACAAGAAGGAAACACAGGTTTTTCTAAAAATTTTTAGCTTTTCTAAAAATAGTAATGACAAATCAGATCGACCTAACTACAATTAATAACTTCAATCAATGATCATTGATTATTTTGTTTACTCAAAATATTTCTACATCCTTTAATATTTGATTTATTATTAATTATTTAATAATCTTTGTATGGCCTCTTGAAATTTTGGTAATTTTTTATACAATTTATCGTTTATCGCGATGTAATATTTTCTAAAAAAAAGTTGCAAAATTATTTATATTTATTAACAATATTACAAGATATTATAGATGTATTATAGATGTTCAGAATTTTGCGATGACTCACCATAGCAAGTTACTAATTTCGTTTCGAACGAGTTTCACGGCTATGGCAATGGCATGTTACCCATGAAATGTATTTTAGTTAGCACGTGGCACTTAAGTTATGCGAATACTCTTGACGCTGACGTAATCAGGTTAACCGTAGCTATCAATCAAATGATATTTTGGACTTCCAATATTTCAAACGCAAAGGCATAAATTTCTTTGAGAAAAAAAATCTAATCACTTTATAGTAATCAATTTTTAAAAAGATATTTTAAATTACGATTAATTATTTTTACGCGATATATTGCTATAAACATCTTGTGAGTATATTTCTTTTTGTCAAATACACAAAATCAATTAAATCCCGAAACTAAAATCAAATTTTTGCAATTAAATATCTTATCATATATTTTTAAAAATCTATATCCATTTTGTAGGATGCAACTGATGTTGAAGCTGGCGTAGCTACACGAGTCTTGCGAAAACGAAAAACTACTCAAAACGATCACAGTCATGGAAGTTTCTTCCTAAGAATTGGCGCGATAGGTAAATTTGAAATTTTTGATGATGGAGAAAAATTCTTCTTAAAAGATGATGCGAATAGTATCGACAAAATAATTAAACTATCTACATAATTTGTCAGCTTTCGGACTGGGCACTATGGTTTACAACGGTTTGGAATTCGGTGCATTCTTCGAAGTACCACCTACGTCACCTTGCTATCAGATATTACAAGGCGTCAATCCGGTGTTGCAAATGATCTTCACCTTTATGCAAATGTACTTTATCTTCATGAATTCCCGGGTACGTATATTTGCCATTCGAAATAAACGACAGACAAATAAAGATGAACTCTATCTCTCTTCGCAGTTGAACATTCATCGCTTCAAAGTCATCGCTCGTTTCGGTCTCATGCACGTGGTCGCGACGAACCTATGCGTATGGATACGCACGCTGGTTCTGGAGAGTCTCAAGGAGATCACTCAATATCATAAAAAACTGGGCCAGTTTCAGGCGGGGATTCTCGGTAAGCGATCTATTTGCAGACTTGTCGCTTTCAAGCACTTCTCGGCGATAACGTGCCAATAACACGCCGACACTTGCAGAGAGCATTAAGCAGCACTCGATGCGAAACGCTGGAGCGATACTGGGCACCGAGCCGCGTGACATGGCGCAATTACGAGAGGCTCCTCTCGTGGCCTCCACGAGGTCAACGACCATCGCGCCGATCGTCACAACCGGGACGACCGTGGCCGCTCTAGGCCGCGTGATGACGACAACGGCAAGATCGATCGCGGACGCGTTCACCATGTCGAGCAGCACGTCCTCGAACACCTGGACGACTCCGTCGACGACGACGCCGCCGACCACCACCACCTCGATATTGCCTAATCTGACTACTAGCGCGGCGACGACCCTATCGACCATCCTGACCACGTTCATACCGTCAACTACCAGCACTTCCACCACCACCACGACGACAACGACCACCGAGAGAATCACCACTATTCCTACAACTACAACGAGCACCACCAGCACCACCACGCCGTCCACTACCACATTATGGTCTCAGATTATGGAGTTTATGAATGCGCCGCAAGGCGATATGGATAATCAGGTTGGGATTACGTTTCAGTGTGTCTTTGAAAATAGATACTGTTGACGCAGCGATTGAACCGACCCGGCTTTTTTAGGTACCGCAGATCTTCGACGTGAGCAACTTGACGAACAACAGCGAGTACTGGAACCCGAATTTAGGTATCTACGCGGAGGCTCTGACGGAAGATGGAACGGTATCCAACTCGTGTGGCCGCGTCAATATCATGGGAAGCATCGTTCAGGATGCGGCGCCGTACTTGTTCCCCTTCATAATCGAGTATAGCTTGATCGGAGCGGCGGTGATTTATGTCATGTGGAAGCATATCGGCCGACATCCACGTTGGCCTCATCAAACCGAAGCGGATCTCGAACGTCGCCTGGAGGCCATGCTCTCACGAAGAGCCGTCGCTCTTGCTCATGCAGGTAGTGCTGCATTTCCTAACAATGTTTTCATTATTAATTTTGAACATCTCGATCACATATACAAAGAATTCTTCCATTTTCGAATGACGTAAATATGAAGTTATCTTCTATTTATTTAAGAAAACCAAATGTTAACATAAAGTATTGTCAGGTCACACTAGAGTCGACTGTGTGGGAGCGAGCAAAGGTCTCTTCTTCGGCCTGCTTCTGTTGGTTGGTTCCCTGATATGCCTGATTCTCTTCTTCGTACTGATTCATCATCCGGAACTGGGTTTGCTCGCGATCTATCTCGCCGACGTGTCTCACTGCGTACTAATGGCGTTATCCATCATCGCCATAATCATCGGCTTCATCCGCGTACAGAGTCTCAAGTTCAAGGCCGAGGAACAGAGCGATCTCAACGATATCCTCCTGCGCGTCTCAGCCTTCGGTCTCTTCATCTATGCTGTCTTCAGCGTGATCGCCGGCTCCCTGGCGGCCTTTACGCACGAGCCGAATTTGCTGGTGATGGTGACTGGATTGCTCTCGGTGGCTCAGGTAGTCCTCCAGATGCTGTTTATTGCCGACGTGTCGCGCAGGCGGGTTCACTTGCCAGAGCACGATCGCAGCAAGCCCGGCAGACAGGTTGTCACTTTCCTGTTGATCTGCAATGTGACTATGTGGGTGATCTACACCTTCGAGGCTCAGAAAGTCATCGCCAACCCGGTGCAGCTCGATTTCTACGGATTCCTGGCTTGGGCCATCGTACAAAGGGTCACTCTGCCATTGTGCATCTTCCACAGATTCCATAGCGCTGTGACGCTCGCCGAGATCTGGAAGACGAGCTACAAGGCACGTCTGGAGTAGACGAGCGGGAAATCTCGTTATGGTCAATCGTCCGGAGTGGTCGTCAGTTGGAACAAGAGAGTGAGCGCAAGCTGGTCGGGATGCTCGACGACCTCAATCACATACATCGATTTCGGGTCTCAAAGAAAGGCAAAAGCTTGAAAAGAGGGAGAGAAGAAGATTGGTTGAGGAAGTCAGCGGGGACAGTGAAAGATGACGGATCAGCCGGAATAATCAAACATATAACGTGTTTAACACGTCCGTTGCACGAAGAGACCTTCAGATGATATCCAAGTCGTTGATAATTGTTGAAAATTCCGTGAATTCAAGTTGGAGATTTATCTCGTTGAAAAAAATCTTTATCGACAAAGATAGAAGGAAAGAGAAAGCCATCTGAAGAGACACTTCAGTGACATGTTCAAAGTCGATCTGACATCCTCAAGGAGCAGCTTTCGTGTAAAGTGGAGCCAGATATGATCGTGTCGAAACTATTCCTTTATCTCCTGTTTTGTGTACAAGTTGTATTTTTCTTTTTTCTTTTTGTTGTTTTAGCATCAATAGAGATGACGAGGAAAGGACCTGGACGATCGTGTCAATAATTTTGTCGGTCAGATAGGCTTTTGCCGATTTCGGCGCAAACGAAGCACAAAACAACAAGGATATTAAGCGTTTCACGAAATACGATTGCATTTCCCTTTCTCACCTTACACAATCTCTATACTGCCACCAAATTTTCTACTTTTATATGTATTATATGTATTGTATGTATTCCAGTATATATATCTTCGCCCCATCGCGCATCAATATTGTAGAGAAATTCAGTTCACACACTCGCAAAAATTTAGATTATTGTCCCGATAATTGCCCGGCAATTTTCTTCTTTCATTCATTATAAAAGTATATCGGATTGCTGTGATATATATATGCTTTTATGAAAACTTGAGTCGGCAATAGCGATGAATCTCTTTCTATTCGTGTGTTAACGCGCAATGTTTATAACAAAATATTTCATATTTTTATAAATCTCGATATTTAGCGGATGAAATTAGCTTTTAAGTTGATAGTAATTGGTTAACGTTTCTCTGGTATTTATCTTACAAGATGTTAATTAACTCGGAATTATAAAATTCGTCGTGTTAAATCGATTAGCTGACTGTCAAAGAGAGAACAAATTCCTTTTCGTACTTATTGAGATAATTTCACGATCATAGAAATAGCGAACGGAGAAGTTGATCTATTCAATGTACCATCCGCGTGATGGTTGCATCCTTCGTCGATCAGGATCTAACTGAAGAAATCTCGAGAGATTTTACATAGAATAGGGTAATTTCGCAAAACTCTATTTGCTTAACCGAAGGAAATGAAGCGACGTTTTTAATCTTGCGACAGATCCCTTTGTTCTCTCGAGCCACTTCACCCGAAACGCGAGTGCTTCCTCGCGTTCGCGAGCGCGCAATTAACGAGAGATCCGTTCCTTCAAAAGGGACACGCATTCGAAAGATCTTTATCATTGTTTCTCGTTGCGTGCCACAGAGTACAAAATTGTTTCTGAAACTTTTCGAATCCTTTTATCGACATACTTTTTCAACAATCGCGCTCTTCGAATGAACGCGCCAACGACATCGCTGTATCTTCGTCGTAGCTTCATCGCGAGCAGTTGGCACACATTTAACATATAATAATGAATGGAGAGCCAACGAAGAAGGAGGCCGCATGTTCGAAGCCAAGACGATTGTATATATGCGAATATTTCGTTTCGGACTCGCCGAGTATTTCGAATGGCATATATTCGAGGAGTTTCCGCAAACGAAAGCGGAAATTACGCGCTATGATGCAGATTGTGTGACTAAGGCGTGTGTAAGGTAACGAGAAGGGAGTCAAGAATGTGACTTTGCGACAAAAAGGCTTATTCACAGCGGAAAGCGATTTGTATACGTATTTGTCCTTTCAAGCATATTCTGACACATACGAACGTCAAGGCTCTCCGTTGCGAATGGCTTAATTCTTTGAGGGGCGATGGTGCAGCTTTATGTACTTCACGCAAATATGTATAAGTCACAGTGTCATTATGTATTAGGTGCCACGACTCTTTTGTGCGTTTCTATGTTGGTGCGATGTGGTTTAATTTGGGAACTACAGTGCCTAAGTTTCGCTCTAGTACTAGTTTCTCTCTTTCGGAGGTCCTGCACAAAATACGCTTTCTCGGCCCCTGAAAGAGTTAAGGGAGAGAATTTTTGAGAGTGAAGAAAAGAAAAAGAAGGGGAGTAATAATTCGATATACGCGATATAGAGAAGCTCGCACCCTACTTCACGAAATATAAGAGGTAATCATTATGATCATTATTGATTAGTATTTAAGCCTATCTCGAAGAGGTATCGATCCTTCGCATTTACTTCGCTATTGATATCGTATGTAGATCGTTGAGAAGAAAACGTTTGTCGTATAGAGACTATACTTTGTGAATTCATCTACGAACCTTGTGAAAATATTCCCTTCTAAAGAGAAAACTCACATTTCTTAAGTTTTATTCAATAAAATTTATCAAAGCGCATAAATTTTATTGAATAATATTTTTTCCGCAGAAAGAGAAAACAATAATACACAAGACATACCCGAAATCCTGACGCAAGTCATACCTATACATCAGTCGACGTATTTAGCTTTCGAGTCTAAATATTTTAATTATTAGAGATAATATAATTAATAAGTAACGCGCGTGCGTTAAATGAGAGGAATGTTGTTGCACCGGAAGCTTACTAAAAGGTAGTTAACGATCGATTATACATAATTATAATCCAAGGATGATATTAAAAAAACAAACACGATATAAATACAAATAAATAAATAAATATATATATATATAAATATACATATATATATACAATGAAAACTTGTATTAATTTAATGCGCGCAACCGTGTAGGGGGTGTTGCGTGCGATATGTAAATAATAATAATAATAATAATCATTCTTCGTCAGTAAATAATTATCCAGCAAAGTGTTTGTGAAACGATTGCCGAAAGTGATGCAGATATTTGTGTACGGATAGATTTTCAATTTCTCGCGCAATTGTTATTTTATGCTACAATATATAAGCTGATTTTCCCATGATTATGATATAAAGTATATAACATATATATATATATATATATATATATATATATATATATCAGTACAAAGATATTACAATACTGTTACGAACTTCAATAAATCAAAGCAGCAATATCATTCATTTTACAATCATTGATTTTAAATATAAAGATTTTAAATAAAAAGTGCATGGGTGAATCAGCTTATACACGTGAGAATAATGAGTTGATATTATTATCATTTTAAAGATCGAAATTATTAATCGCAAAAATATAAAATATCTCATCACGAAACTGTAAGAGAGAGGAATTTTTCTCGCAGAAATCTTTTCACCGACACTCTGCGCCATTACGAGTTTGATCGCGATTATGTGATAGAAGGGATAAAATCACAAGATGACAACATTAGCGAAAGAGATCATTGCGAGAATTAAATTAATTAACAAGGCACTGCCACACCGGACCAACAAAGCCGAAACGAATAATTGAAGAGATTCGGGGAAGGCGGAAGGATAATATATGCAGAAAGAGAACCAATAATCCTTTATCGATTTCCCATAAACAGAAAAGCTATAAAGAAGAAAGATATATGAAGCCGAGGCCCTTCCACGTTTAACGAATGCGTAGCCCTCAAAATAAGTATGCGTGATAGGAGAGTGAGGAAAGAGAAAAAGCGAATGACAGAGAAAAAGAGGTAAACAGAAGGAAAAAGAATGATACAATGCGAGCTGTTTTTCTTCGGCAAACAACGTCTTTGTATACTCTATACCCGTGTTATAAGGAGAAAAACCACGATTCTTGTATATGTACATCAATATCTCGATAGTAGCCGTAAGCCTAACTAGTGAGTCGCGGATTTGCGACAAGGCCAGAGAATAGAATGCGAGATCTGAGATTCAATTGCAAATAATTGCATCGATATTTATTTATTTATTTTATTTATTTTTTTCGTTTTTATTCAGGACCGACGGAATTATTTCTATAAATTTAAAGCCATTTTTTATAGCTATTTGTTATACAAATTTTTGTTATACAAATTTTCATTTACGTAAATGACGTAAATAGTTATTAATTTATACGTAATAAGGCCGATCTATTTAAATAAATAATTTAGTCATAGAAATATAGAGCCAGATGTTCAAGTAATGCTATTTTCTGCCATAATAATAACAGTACGTAACTTTATTTTTCATGTAGCTCTAATTGTAAGTCACGAATCTGCAAGAAATAAACGGAAAGAAAGACAGCAGGAATTTGCATATGCAATGTATGCGCGCCGGAAGCAAATCCGCGACACATTATTATTTAACATAATGTAGTGAGTTTTCGATGTCTTCGAGTATAATTACAGTTTGTACACGTATACACACAGTTATACGCAGCATACATACATTACATATACATATGCGCGCGCACAAATGACATCACTCACGGATTTACCAGAGATACACTATATCGAAGGAGGAAGCGAGGACAATGGCAGGCATAGAACGGAAGAAGTTAACGTTTTCGTCGGAGCAGGCGATAATGACAGGCAGGACACAAAAAAAAAATAAAAGTATAAATTACATGTTGTGGTGTAAGCAGTTCTTCGAATGTCGAATAGCGACGAATACGTCTGTAAATTTTCGTAAATTCGCTCATTCATCAATTCCTATTTTCATTGTATACCGTTAACAAAACCAGTTTCATTGTAACCCGAGTTGCATCGGCACGTCATTGCCGCATCATTTGTAACGATATATGATTATATTGGTTAATAAAAGTTATCTAGACGTATAATGCGTGTGTTTCCTGCCTCTCTTTGTAATTATTAATCTTTATTTCCATTTCTCGTTTCTCGTTTCAAATTTATTATCGTTTCAAACACAAAAAAAGGAGAAAAATACATAAAAAATATATATTATAAGATTTATTAGAATTATTTATAGATGATATCCGTATTTTTCATCTGTTTTACGTAGATGTATTTTAATTTGTTCTCATGTCTAAATTTAGATATTATTAGATATACATGAGTACGTAGATTATATTACTATTATACAATTTAATTACAGATTTTATATCTTAAAAGCTAAACTTTTTGAATATTTTTTAATTTGCAAATTTTTTAAATTCACGAATGCTACAGAATTATTATGATTGTTATAATTATATAAGTTATATGTATAAAGTATTTCGGTGTGCTTGAAATACAGATCAACAGCCAGTAAACGACGTAAGAGATTCATGTATCTACTGCAGATACAAGTTTCTATAAACATATAATTTTTTCCCATACATTGAACAATTTACATATAAAAGTTCAATTTTAAAACATACGTGACTCAAAGATATTCATAATGAAAACATATTAATTCAATCTGAATATTATTGATAAAAAGCACACACGAGAGCGTAAAACTCAATTGAATTTCACATTCGCCACGCGAGATGGTGGTTGTTTCTACCCGGTCTCGAAAACACAGTGAACAACATTACAATTCCACAGTTTCATATGTTGTTTGAGTTATCATTAACTTATTAACACTTTGCATTAAATATTTGTATACTGGGATTCTATCTAAACTCGCACGCAAAAGTCG